TCACTGTGTGTATCACTGTGTGTGTGTATCACTGTGTGTGTGTGTCACTGCGTGTATCACTGTGTGTGTGTATCACTGCGTGTCTCACTGTGTGTGTGTCTCACTGTGTGTGTGTATCACTGTGTGTGTATATCACTGTGTGTGTGTATCACTGTGTGTGTGTGTCACTGCGTGTATCACTGTGTGTGTGTATCACTGTGTGTGTGTGTCACTGCGTGTATCACTGTGTGTGTGTATCACTGCGTGTCTCACTGTGTGTGTGTATCACTGTGTGTGTGTATCACTGTGTGTATCACTGTGTGTGTGTATCACTGTGTGTATCACTTGTTATGAGTACTTGTCAGGGTGGTTGCGGTTTGGTTGATGATGAGCGCGGTGATGTCGGATCACACGGAATATACAAGTGTTGTGCACACGTCGCCCTCAGGCTGTTTGTCAGGCTATTGGTTCCTCCCTCGTTATCAATGTAGATGAGTTGTATGGATGCAGATTGTAGTTCATGTTCTGTGCGGATGTTCACGGCTGATCATTGTGTCCTCCGGAGAGGCCTCGCTCATACATCTCACCCACCTCATGGTCACCTTAGTCTGTTCTTTACACCCTCCTGTGGCGTGTGCCGAGTCCTGTGGCGTGTGCCGAGTCCTGTAGCGTCTGCCAAGTCCTGTGGCGTGTGCCGAGTCCTGTGGCGTGTGCCGAGTCCTGTAGCGTGTGCCGAGTCCTGTAGCGTGTGCTGAGTCCTGTAGCGTGTGCCGAGTCCTCGGGTATTACTTAGTCTCATGGAATAGTGAAATAAAGGGCTGAAAAGCTCAACTAAAAGCACCATGTGGGCTGTACTGTCCATCTCCAGCATGGGGCATCAAGGCGGTGGGTTATAGGGGGATACGGTAGGGAGCACAGAAGATAGGGGTGTAGTAGGGAGCACAGAAGGTAGGGGTGTAGTATGGAGCACAGAAGGTGGGGGTGTAGTATGGGAGCACAGAAGATGGGGGTGTAGTAGGGAGCACAGAAGGTGGGGGTGTAGTAGGGAGCACAGAAGGTGGGGGTGTAGTATGGAGCCCAGAAAGATAGGGGGGTAGTAGGGAGCACAGAAGATAGGGCTGTAGTATGGAGCACAGAAGGTGGGGGTGTAGTATGGGAGCACAGAAGATAGGGGTGTAGTAGGGAGCACAGAAGGTGGGGGTGTAGTAGGGAGCACAGAAGGTGGGGGTGTAGTATGGAGCACAGAAGGTGGGGGTGTAGTATGGAGCACAGAAGGTGGGGGTGTAGTATGGAGCACAGAAGGTGGGGGTGTAGTATGGAGCACAGAAGATAGGGGTGAAGTATGGGAGCACAGAAGGTGTAGTAGGGAGCACAGAAGGTTGGGGTCTAGTATGGGGTCGGGGTTTAGGCTGAAGCTCCCTGGCCCCCATTCTATTACGGTGTATTGGGATCTTCTGCCCACTGATCCCCGTCTCTCCCCTGCAGACCATCTCGGAGTTGGAGGCTCAGGTGTATAAGCTGAAGGAGGAGCTGATCCAGGGGAACGGTCAGCGCAAGCAGCAGCTCTTGGAGTTGGGACACTTGCGGGAGGAGGAGAAGCAGAGGACGGCTCAGGAACATCACATGGCGCTCAGCAAACTAAGGAAGGAGATGGAGGCCACCAAGCTGGAGCTACAGAAGAGACACGCCGCTCAGACCCAGGAGGCCCTGGAGAAGGTGAGGGCCCCCTACACACAGCGCACCCCTTCTCTTCTAGCACTCCCTGTACTTCCCTTTCATTGGTCCTCCCCTTGTCCTCTGGTCTGGCTCTTCCATGATCCATAGCATGGAGGGAGTATGATGGGTATATGGGGGGTCCTGTGGAGGG